CAACGGCTCTTCGTGTCGAGGTTTTTCCCCACAAGTGGCTGCTCACCCGAGCACAACATTCCATTCCCTTTGTCTTACGTTAGGCAATCAGATTTAGCGACATAAATATATCTAAATAAATTTAGCAACATAAATGTCCAAGGTCATAACTGCTAACCATAACCTTTTAAAAGTTAGAAAAGGTGGAAAAAAGTTTAAAAAAATAAGAAAAAATATGCTAAGTCAGACACAACCCGACGTGGACTGCGTTTCACTTTTCGCACTTGGTAAAAGCTAGCACAAACAAAAGTTTTTATATTTAACTATATAGTCACTATATAGCCAACAATTTACTATATACCCGGCTGTATTGTCACTTTGTTTATATTTGATGATATGATATATATATCTCTTCTCTACCACAATCAACTGTTAGAAAGCCACCATTTTTATAATAAAAACAGACAGAATAAGAGTTACAAAATGGGCATTTATTAATGTACCATGTATTCATGTATCCTCTATATAAAAATGAAAAAAATACATACAATCTGTAAATACATTTTATTAACTTTAACTCAATTTATGAAGCAATCCTATAATTATAAGATGTCCTGTGACTAATGTACCATATAACAAAATTTTAACGTAACATAATAATTCTAAAATCTAAATGATGTGACTATAAATGTACGATAACAAAATAATTATGAATATATGAATAAACCTTCGATTATTCGATATTATTAAAAAAGCATGCACGGTTACTTACGAAAAAGCTTTACGATGTTAATTTGCGCAATCTTCTAGGATGTAACAAAAAGTTTTTTATCGGACAATTTAGCAGTCAGCCAAAGTCAAACCTCGAGTCAAATAAACAGTTTCTCTTCACCCTGTAGAAAGCCGCCATCTTTGTTTTACGGCCTGTTCGCAGGCGTACAAGCCCTAGTTAGTCGACCTGAGTGTTTAACGCTGACGCACACACACACCCACAACCACTGATCTGAATAATCAGTGCCCACAACTCGATAGCATAGTATCTAGCGCTACGCGCAGATACAAAAAGTAATCATGCGATGTTGCTCGTACAATCAGGGATTAATAATAGTACTCGTGATGTTTGGAAATTTTGCCAAAATTGGACGAGCCGCTGGGGCGATCAATCAATCAATCAATCAATCAAACTTTATTTACCCACGGTACTATTTCACAAGGACAAAAACTAAAATATTTACAAGATGTGATCTTCCAATAGGCCGTGCTATATATGTATGAATAATTACATGCAATTATAAAAATATTTTATTAAGTTAATACAATAAAATCGAAGAGAAAAAGAAAAAAAGATAAATTGATTATCAAGAATTATTACCACTATTTGACACTAGAGCCCTTTTGAAGGTTTACAATGAACCCATATTTTTTATATTAGGTAATAAATCATTCCAAGCTACAGCTCCTGTGTACGAGAATGATTTTTTACAAAAATTGGTACTTGGCCTCGGGAGTGCAAAGTTAAATTCAGCCTGCCTAGTTTGATGATTATGAAGTGTACTGGTTTTCGTGAATAAATCAATTAGGTAATCAGGCACCATGTTATTATTTACCTGATACATAGTAGTACATAATTGATTATTTCTTCTGAGACTTAAATTAGGTAAATCTAATTCTTTAAGTATATCGGCTGATCTAAATTCATACCCACGCTTTGTAATGATACGTGCTGCTCTATTTTGTAAACGTTGCAATTGGTTTTGAAGGGTAATCCAAGACAACCCCATACTTGCGAGCAGTAATCAAAGTGTGGTTGAATTACGGTTTTGTAAACTGTTACTAGAGTCCTTACATCAACAAAATCTCTTAATCGTCTAAGGATGTAAAGATTCACTTTCTTTGTAATTAGATCTGTTTGAGAATGCCAGGTTAAGGTCTCATCTACCATCATACCCAGTGATTTAGTAACGGTTACTCGTTGAATAGGCGTATCTCCAATTTTTATTTGCAATTCGGAGTTACACTGTTTAAGTTTTTTATGTGATCCAATAAACATATATTCAGTTTTGCTTTTGTTCAGGCTCAGCTTGTTGGCCGCCATCCAAACTGAAATATTTGCTAGGTCATCATTTAACGTTTCAAAAATTACTTTGACATCCTTATTTGCCGTTCCTAATTGAGTATCATCAGCAAACATGTCACAATCCGCACTTTTTAAGCAATTTGGCAAGTCATTTATGTAAACAAGAAAGATTAAGGGTCCAAGAATTGAGCCCTGCGGAATACCAGTAATTATTGTTCGTGGTTCAGACAGTTTGCCATTAACTTGACAATACTGGGTACGATTAAAACAGATAGGACCTAAACCAGTCATGCGCCTTTCCTCTCACTCCATATAAATATAATTTCTTTAATAAAATACCATGGTCAACGGTATCAAATGCCTTTTTTAGATCTAAAAAGACAACTCCATTGATTAACCCTTCATCCATATTTTGATACAAATGGTTTGTCATTTTTAACAATGCAGTAACAGATAGATAGATAGATACTTTATTGCGTGTTCCCCTAAGGGCTTTTCAACACTACATTACATATTAAAATTACTATAAATTACTACTAAAACTACCTATGTTACATATACTTATTTAAAATTAGTTAAAATATGTACAAAGAGTATAAAATATTAAATGTATTTAATAGGATTCTTTTAGTAAAATCTCCCTAAGTTTTTTCTTAAAAATTGTTATTGATGTAATATTTTTTAGTTTATCATCCAAATCATTCCATATTTTAACACCCCGGTAATTAAATGTTCTTTGACCTGTAGCAGATTTATACAGAGGGATGTCCAAGAGGTCATGATTTCTTGTCGATCGATCATGTATGTCGGAACGCTTTATAAAATTATCTACTAGGTAGTCAGGTGCAAGTCCATTAAAACACTTGTAAGCCATTACAGTATCCCTTTCCAATAATAACTTTTCCACTGGCAACCAATTTAGTTCGCGCAACGCCGGAGTTATGTGATCGAACTTTCCTACCCCTGATATAACTCTGCACGCGAAGTTCTGCACTGATTGAAGTTTATTGATATTGTTAGATGACGTGTTGGACCACACCGTAGAGCAGTACAGAAGCTTGTTAATTACAAGTGTCTCAATGACCAATTTTAATGTTTTATTATCGAAACTATCCTTCACGCGATTTATTTGACATAGTTTTCTCATACACGACGAAACGAGTTTAGATATGTGGTCGTCGTAGGATAGGTACGAATCCAAATTGATACCCAAATCTTTAGCTAATAAAACAGGTCTTATAGTCTTTCCTAAAAATGTTAGCGATATTTCTGTAGGTACATTCTGCAGCATGGGTCTTGAACCGACTAAAAGGAATTTAGTTTTTTCTGGATTGATCAGTAATTGGTGCTCCAAACACCACTTGGCTGCTATTTGTAGATCTGCCTCTAAATTGATAGTTGTCTGTTCCAAGTCGTAGATGCAGAATGATTTGTAAAGCTTTGAGTCGTCTACGTATGAATCAAGGTTACACGATTGTATGCTCCCTGGCAGATCATTAATATAGATGCAAAACAGAAGTGGTGATAGTATTGCACCTTGTGGAACGCCATGGGTTATTGGGCGAGCTGATGACTTGGTGGATCCAATGCGCACGTATTGGGATCTGCCTGTTAAATAGTCTTGGAACCATTTAACAGCTTCGGGTGAAGCACCGATACAACTCAATTTGTGTAATAAAATCGAATGACTGACACTGTCAAATGCCTTGGATAAATCCAATAAAATTAGTGCCGTTAGATTTTTGTTGTCTATGGCTTCCAACATCGTATCGGTAACAAATATGTTTAAGGTTTCGGTGGAGTGAAGACTCCTATTCCCGCTTTGATGTGACGATATGCGATTAAATTCTTTGAGGTAGGAGCTAAATTGATTTAGAACAACTTTTTCACAAACTTTTGAAACTACCTCGAGTAGTGAGAGAGGCCGATTGTTTGAGGCTATCTCGTGGTCTCCTTCTTTTAGTAGGGGTATAACTTCAGAAATCTTCCATAGGTCAGGGAATGTGCTTGTCATTAGAGAGCAATTTATCATATGCGTAAGAGGACCCAGTATGATTGGAAGACAGTCTTTGATGACACGCATGCCTATTTTATCTGGTCCTGGTGACTTATTACTTGGCATAGCCATGATAATGCGTTGAACCTCTGTACAAGTAACGGATTGGAAATTGAACAGTTGATCAGATGGATAAGTGATTACATTTGACAGAGGATTTGACAGTGCAACATTGTTGTCTTTGGCTAAACTTTTGGCTGTCGCAGCAGCGTTCCGTCCCACAGAAGTAAAAAAAAGGTTGAAATCTTCTGCAACTGTTTTTGGATCTTTACTATAAACTTGTGTTTCCTTTTCCTTCGAGGGAATTATATTATTAATTATTTTCCATAGGGATCTCGAATTGTGTTTATGTTCTCTTACTTCGTTGAAGGTGTGGTCCTTCGCTGCGGCTTTAATTTTGGTTTTTACGTTATTACGATATTCTTTGTAAACTACCCAATCACCTTCATCACGTGTCAGTTGAAACCGACGGAGGTGTAGGTCCCGAGACTTCATGAGTTCTTTTATTTCATTGGTGACATATGGACATGATCGATTTCGAATTTTGAAGGTTTTTAACGGTGCATGCACGTCGAGAGTTGAGTGAAGAACATCTTTGAAGGTTTCGAGTATTGTATTGACGTTGGTGTTGGATAATATGGATAACAGACGATCCGATTTAGTGACAAGGTCAGAGGAAAATAATGAGGGATTATAGTTTTTATAACTCCTGGTTGTAATGTAACATGCTGGCATCTTTGGGGCCTTTAACTTTAGTAGGACGTACACTGGTAAGTGGTCACTGATAGAAGTGTTAATAACACCACTCTCAAGAACAAGTGCTGTGGATGAGACTAGAATAACATCAATAAGCGTTTGGGACGTCGCCGTGATTCTAGTTGGAGTTTTAATAATCTGTGTGAGATTTAATTCTGTAAAAAAATTTGTTAGCGCTCTCCGCTCTTGGCCGTTTTCTAGCATGTTACAATTTAAGTCACCGAGCACTAAAATCTGTTTATTCAAAGTTAAAGCCTGAACATAATTTGGCTTAAGTAAATCTTCGAAACAATTTAGAGAAGTGTCAGGTGGTCGGTAGGTTACACAAATTATTATTGATTTGTTTTTTTGCCATTGTAGATTTATCCATAGTTGATGAAAGTTAGAGACTGACACCTTCGATAAATCTTTTAAGACAGTTGCTTTAATATTCTTCTTGATGTAAGCACAGACACCTCCACCTTTCTTGTGTAACCGGTCAAGTCTGTGGATCTTATAATCGTCGATTGCTATCTCACGGTTCGTCACTGAGGAATTTAACCATGGAGAGGTCTAAAGCCATGTTGTGCATTAGTTAGTGTATTTGCCCGTTGTAAATAGGAATAGACCTGGTTATGTACGAGTTTCTCCATTGTTTTGGCAATTACCGAAATAATAGATATGGGTCGATAATTATCCATATTAGATTTAGGGCCACTTTTGTAAATTGGAGCGACTCTTGCATTTTTTCACTCACATGGAAATATGCCGGTGGATATAGACCTATTAAATATTGTTGTCAGCGATTTAGCAATGTAATGTGAGGCCATTTTAATAAGTTTTGCTGGTAATCCATCTAGGCCCGATGCCTTAGTAGATGATAATGATGATAATAACTGGCAAACTTCCTGTTCAGTTATTTCACAGAAAATAAATTCCTGCATTGATTCACTGATATAACTCTCTGGTGGAATAGAGCAAGTTGAGATGTTTTGGGAAAGAATGAAACCAAGATCAGTGAAATGATTATTAAATGCATTAGGTATGCCTGGAATATTAACCATTTCGCCATTCTCGTTACGGATCTCAGTTATATTTTGAGATTTTTTTGATTTATGAATCAAGTTATTAATAGTTTTCCACATGTTCTTAGTATTTCCTTGATTATCCCTAATCTCAACACTATAATGATGGCGAATGGACGACTTAATTAATTTATTATAAGAATTTCTAGCTGATTTGAAGATTTGCCAATCATTTTCATTTTTAGATTTCAAGGCCTTTTTCTTTAATAAGTTCTTATTTCGCTTACTATGAAGTACTTGTTTCGTAATCCAAGGGGTACGCTTCTTACCAATTTTACGGGTTTTAAGTGGTGCATGTTTATCAATAATTTCAGTAAATTTATTTTTCCAAATATACCACATTCGGTAGGAATCCGTGTATGAATCCAAATTATGGTTTTCGGACGATGCTATATCGCGTAGGAAATTATCTTCATTGAAATTTGTGAAATCACGGAACTCCAAAATATGTTCCTCTTTTTTTAACAATGGGAATGACAAAATGCCAGATATTAAATAATGGTCACTAATCGTTATTTTGGAGACTCCTGCTAATATAATATTTTCCTTTTTATTGGTATAGAAATGGTCAATTAAAGATACCGAATTCTTAGTTTCCCTTGTAGGTTCGTCTATCAATTGTTTGTATTGATATAAATTAGTAATGAAATTGAGCTCTTTCGTCATATGATCTAGATTTTTGTGTAATAGATCACAATTTATATCACCGATGCAGGATAATGCTCTCTTTCTCTTCCGTATCAATAAGCCGTAGAATGTTTTCGAATTTTGTTAGCATGTCAATGGGTGAATTAGGTGGTCTGTACCACGTTGAAACTAGAAAAGTTTTGGTTTTATATTTATGAATTTCTATCGTAAGAGCTTCAATATCATGATGACCCAAGTCAGGTCTTATCAAAAAGTTAATTGTATTTCGTATGTAGAAACCAACACCCCCACCAGATCTATTCCTATTCTTAGAAACCCAGGTATAGCCCTCCAGGGAAATTAAATCTAGGGGTACATCAGAATCCATTTTAGTTTTATTGATTGCTAAAATATCTAGTTGTTGTTTAGTCATGCATACTCGTAATTCGTCTATATGTTTTAAAAGGCTATTAATATTAAGATTAGCAATTTTGAAGCCACGCTCATTAGGAAGTAGATTATCAAACAAACCAAAATCATATTCGGAGTTTGGCTGTATATGAGGCGAATTTAACGTTATATCTAAATTTGGAATAGGGTTCTCAATCAGTCAAAAGTTTAAAGTTTTGGGCAAGTACAGCAGTACCTCTCCTATTTAGGTGCAACCTTCCTTGATTTAAGTGACTCTTATTAATATTCGAGTGTTTAACAAATTCCCATGATTGTAAATAACATGTCGATTCGACTAATGAATTTACTTGTTGTACCTTCTGATCATTGTCTTCACGGTCGGATGGACATCACTCGTTTTATTTTTTAGATCATTGTCTTCACGGTCGGACGAACATCACTCGGTCTTCACGATCAGGGGACATCACTCGTTTTATTAATTTCTAATTGTACTCGCCATCACATGGTTACCCATACAAATTGAAAAATGATAATCATCTTTGTGTCAATTACCCTTTTAATTTTAATCCAATGTTTTATTGTAGTATTGTTACAAAATTGGTTGAGTTGTATAGTCATAATTCATGAATAGATATCAGTTATGTACACTACATGCATATACGTCACATAGTTAACTTCATTCTAAGCCATATTAACATCCCAGAGAGGTTGTGCATGGGCAAGACTGCTGTACCTCTCCTAAAGTATTTTCCACCTCCCTCAGTGCTTCCACCAAAATCCAGCCTTGTTTAGACCTTAATGCCAACGTATTTTAAATTTCTCAATTTAGAGTGAATTGGATAATGCCTTGGCTAAAACATGTAACAATTTTGACGCGTTGTATTATGAGAAATTACAAACTGCTTATAGATATCTTGGTAAAATACAGGTAGGTCTTCGTTCTTTGACGCAATAGATCACACCCGTTCAGCATGACGAAACTACGAATCTGCTATGAAATTATTTCCAGCAATATATTATTTGTAGCAGAATGCGCTAAGATTAGGGCACGATTGTATAAAAACTATTTACTATATCCTTAGTGGAAACGTTAACCAATCAGAATCGTGCATTTCAGAGGTAACAGCGATTTAACTATGACGTACTGTAGTTAACAGTTTTATATAACCTGTCCCAGAATTTAATCGCTATGTAAAACATCAACATTTTCAATACAAATACTTCATGGGAAAATGTGAAAGACTCACACGGAATTCTAAGATTTAAGATTAGTCTAAGTCACTAAGAGAATGCATGCTTGTATATAATAAATATACAGATGACAAACACATGCAGTCAATTATTGTTGCGCACATAAGCCAGTAATGTACGGTCAAATTTCCTATTTTTTACGCAATTTTGAGGAAAATATGAAAACGTGTTTTATGTTGCAATGGATCAACTTCACCTCCACTTTACTTCGTGAATTATCAATGACAAATCCAAGAATCAGGGCATATCAGAAAAACCACTAAAGAAGAGAAATTTTCCGCACACGTTTTTTTACCGTGCCTATGAAGATTCGAATTGTGATATCTAAACAAACGTTGAGGTAAACTATGAAAATATTTTGATTTTTTTATGAAGGTACCTATATATTTAGTCAGTCAGCCAATACTGAAAATGTTTAAACTGAACACCCGCCAAATGAAAATGTTCGAAATCAGCATTTTTCTGGCTTTCTTCACTGAACATTTGGTAAAGTTACACCTAAAATTCGTTGCGCAATGTCCAATAGACTAAAACGCACGTTCATCGTGTGAAGTAACCATAAAGATTCATCATGAGCGAAATACAAATTTGAAAAGGAATCGAGCTGATCGAATGTGGGCATATTCCAAATACGAAAATTTTGGTATGAAATGGGATATTTTACTTCATAATGCGAAGGCAGGATAAACATTTTCACAGTAAAAATATTTTGACATTGCTTGGCTACTATTTTTCAATGATCATATAGCCCAAAATTGACCATGCATGCATTTAAAACAACTAGAATTTGAAAAAAACAACTACAATTTGCTCGACAATTTGAAAACTTAAATATATACTGAACCGTTTTTGTGTTAACCGGCTAGCCGGTCTGCTTGGAATCCATTGAAAGTTCATTGTAAAGTGTTTTTTTACTAATTGATTTGATTTCTATTATTGGTATAACTGCCGCCGACACTCCAAAAATATTCAGCGTGAATCTTTTTTCGTGCAGTCGTTGACATTACAGTGACAGTGTTACATTACAGTGACATAAAGACTGAAAAATATTACATTACATTATATGACATTACATTACATTACAGTGACATAAAGACTGAAAAATATCTCCATTTTATGAAAAAAGCACAAAAGAGCTCTGTTCAATTTTACGTGAGACATAAAGCCAAGTTAAATGTCTATAGTTTGGTGTGTTCAAATTTATCTCAACCTGTCTCAACGAGGAGAAAACACTATTTTAAATACGTCCGCGCTTTGACAAAAAAGAAAAAATGTCGTCAAAATGGAGTTCAAAATGCATGTCTTTTCCTCAACAATCGCTTCGTTCATTTTGCATGTGAAATAGATACTAGCTAATTTTAACTATATAATATACTCCGTTTTATGAAAAAAGCACAAAAAAGCCCCGTTCAATTTTACTTGAGACATAAAGCCAAGTTAAATGTCTATATTTTGGTGTGTTCAAATTTATCTCAACCTATCTGAACGAGGAGAAAACACTATTTTAAATACGTCCGCGCTTTAAATTTTGCAAATATTTTCATCGCTCGAGTAAAATTTTTGCCCTGATCTTTTCTTTCAACGAGTGTTCAGTAACAAACAACATAAGCTATTACATGTGATATAACTTATTAAATAATATTTCAAATTTTAATTAACGAAATATAATTACTTAAATCCTTTGTTTTCTCGTTTGCTTGTTTACATTTTTTTGTTGCCATCTTGTACGCGATTTTCTAGTTTTTTTAAAGAAAGCGAGCTCGCGCCAATCCTAATATGCATCACACGTAGCACGGTCATTTATTAGCGCGTTTCACCGCCCGTGTTTTACAGCGCCCTGGTGTAACCTCCTCTACTCGTCTTTATTTTAATAATTCAGGCATATAAGATATATATATGTAACTACTGTATACTCAATAAAAATCCATGGTTTAATGTTAAATGCTGCAGTACGTGTTTTCGTCAGTATTATTAGCATGACAAAATTACTGGATGTTGATTAGTTGAGAGGAGTACAATTATTTCATTAATTGTACTGCAGTACAATTAATGATTTTCCCAAAATACACAAAATGGCGGAAAGGTACTTTTAAAGCACAAATGAAATTGCCCAAATAAACTAAATGAAAATACGAACAAAAGCATCAAATTTTGCATGGTTGAAACTTGAAAGGATGGCAGGACTGGGCTTTGGCGAGAGAATATGATGTTGACATTGAGAATGATCCAACTTTGTCATACTAATAATAAAAAATAGGTACGCTAGGCGTACATGTATCTGCGCAAAGAAATTGCATCGTTCTATGAAAAAAATTTTCATGCACAATTATTGAGTAAACATTTATATATTTTTGAAGTGACTATACAGCCGGCAATTTAGTAAACTGCTGGCTATACAGCCGACTATTTAGTAAAATGCTAGCTATATAGTAGTCTCCTTCGCAACGGCTCTTCGTGTCGAGGTTTTTCCCCACAAGTGGCTGCTCACCCGAGCACAACATTCCATTCCCTTTGTCTTACGTTAGGCAATCAGATTTAGCGACATAAATATATCTAAATAAATTTAGCAACATAAATGTCCAAGGTCATAACTGCTAACCATAACCTTTTAAAAGTTAGAAAAGGTGGAAAAAAGTTTAAAAAAATAAGAAAAAATATGCTAAGTCAGACACAACCCGACGTGGACTGCGTTTCACTTTTCGCACTTGGTAAAAGCTAGCACAAACAAAAGTTTTTATATTTAACTATATAGTCACTATATAGCCAACAATTTACTATATACCCGGCTGTATTGTCACTTTGTTTATATTTGATGATATGATATATATATCTCTTCTCTACCACAATCAACTGTTAGAAAGCCACCATTTTTATAATAAAAACAGACAGAATAAGAGTTACAAAATGGGCATTTATTAATGTACCATGTATTCATGTATCCTCTATATAAAAATGAAAAAAATACATACAATCTGTAAATACATTTTATTAACTTTAACTCAATTTATGAAGCAATCCTATAATTATAAGATGTCCTGTGACTAATGTACCATATAACAAAATTTTAACGTAACATAATAATTCTAAAATCTAAATGATGCGACTATAAATGTACGATAACAAAATAATTATGAATATATGAATAAACCTTCGATTATTCGATATTATTAAAAAAGCATGCACGGTCACTTACGAAAAAGCTTTACGATGTTAATTTGCGCAATCTTCTAGGATGTAACAAAAAGTTTTTTATCGGACAATTTAGCAGTCAGCCAAAGTCAAACCTCGAGTCAAATAAACAGTTTCTCTTTACCCTGTAGAAAGCCGCCATCTTTGTTTTACGGCCTGTTCGCAGGCGTACAAGCCCTAGTTAGTCGACCTGAGTGTTTAACGCTGACGCACACACACACCCACAACCACTGATCTGAATAATCAGTGCCCACAACTCGATAGCATAGTATCTAGCGCTACGCGCAGATACAAAAAGTAATCATGCGATGTTGCTCGTACAATCAGGGATTAATAATAGTACTCGTGATGTTTGGAAATTTTGCCAAAATTGGACGAGCCGCTGGGGCGATCAATCAATCAATCAATCAATCAAACTTTATTTACCCACGGTACTATTTCACAAGGACAAAAACTAAAATATTTACAAGATGTGATCTTCCAATAGGCCGTGCTATATATGTATGAATAATTACATGCAATTATAAAAATATTTTATTAAGTTAATACAATAAAATCGAAGAGAAAAAGAAAAAAAGATAAATTGATTATCAAGAATTATTACCACTATTTGACACTAGAGCCCTTTTGAAGGTTTACAATGAACCCATATTTTTTATATTAGGTAATAAATCATTCCAAGCTACAGCTCCTGTGTACGAGAATGATTTTTTACAAAAATTGGTACTTGGCCTCGGGAGTGCAAAGTTAAATTCAGCCTGCCTAGTTTGATGATTATGAAGTGTACTGGTTTTCGTGAATAAATCAATTAGGTAATCAGGCACCATGTTATTATTTACCTGATACATAGTAGTACATAATTGATTATTTCTTCTGAGACTTAAATTAGGTAAATCTAATTCTTTAAGTATATCGGCTGATCTAAATTCATACCCACGCTTTGTAATGATACGTGCTGCTCTATTTTGTAAACGTTGCAATTGGTTTTGAAGGGTAATCCAAGACAACCCCATACTTGCGAGCAGTAATCAAAGTGTGGTTGAATTACGGTTTTGTAAACTGTTACTAGAGTCCTTACATCAACAAAATCTCTTAATCGTCTAAGGATGTAAAGATTCACTTTCTTTGTAATTAGATCTGTTTGAGAATGCCAGGTTAAGGTCTCATCTACCATCATACCCAGTGATTTAGTAACGGTTACTCGTTGAATAGGCGTATCTCCAATTTTTATTTGCAATTCGGAGTTACACTGTTTAAGTTTTTGATGTGATCCAATAAACATATATTCAGTTTTGCTTTTGTTCAGGCTCAGCTTGTTGGCCGCCATCCAAACTGAAATATTTGCTAGGTCATCATTTAACGTTTCAAAAATTACTTTGACATCCTTATTTGCCGTTCCTAATTGAGTATCATCAGCAAACATGTCACAATCCGCACTTTTTAAGCAATTTGGCAAGTCATTTATGTAAACAAGAAAGATTAAGGGTCCAAGAATTGAGCCCTGCGGAATACCAGTAATTATTGTTCGTGGTTCAGACAGTTTGCCATTAACTTGACAATACTGGGTACGATTAAAACAGATAGGACCTAAACCAGTCATGCGCCTTTCCTCTCACTCCATATAAATATAATTTCTTTAATAAAATACCATGGTCAACGGTATCAAATGCCTTTTTTAGATCTAAAAAGACAACTCCATTGATTAACCCTTCATCCATATTTTGATACAAATGGTTTGTCATTTTTAACAATGCAGTAACAGATAGATAGATAGATACTTTATTGCGTGTTCCCCTAAGGGCTTTTCAACACTACATTACATATTAAAATTACTATAAATTACTACTAAAACTACCTATGTTACATATACTGATTTAAAATTAGTTAAAATATGTACAAAGAGTATAAAATGTTAAATGTATTTAATAGGATTCTTTTAGTAAAATCTCCCTAAGTTTTTTCTTAAAAATTGTTATTGATGTAATATTTTTTAGTTTATCATCCAAATCATTCCATATTTTAACACCCCGGTAATTAAATGTTCTTTGACCTGTAGCAGATTTATACAGAGGGATGTCCAAGAGGTCATGATTTCTTGTCGAACGATCATGTATGTCGGAACGCTTTATAAATTTATCTACTAGGTAGTCAGGTGCAAGTCCATTAAAACACTTGTAAGCCATTACAGTATCCCTTTCCAATAATAACTTTTCCACTGGCAACCAATTTAGTTCGCGCAACGCCGGGGTTATGTGATCGAACTTTCCTACCCCTGATATAACTCTGCACGCGAAGTTCTGCACTGATTGAAGTTTATTGATATTGTTAGATGACGTGTTGGACCACACCGTAGAGCAGTACAGAAGCTTGTTAATTACAAGTGTCTCAATGACCAATTTTAATGTTTCATTATCGAAACTATCCTTCACGCGATTTATTTGACATAGTTTTCTCATACACGACGAAACGAGTTTAGATATGTGGACGTCGTAGGATAGGTACGAATCCAAATTGATTCCCAAATCTTTAGCTAATAAAACAGGTCTTATAGTCTTTCCTAAAAATGTTAGCGATATTTCTGTAGGTACATTCTGCAGCATGGGTCTTGAACCGACTAAAAGGAATTTAGTTTTTTCTGGATTGATCAGTAATTGGTGCTCCAAACACCACTTGGCTGCTATTTGTAGATCTGCCTCTAAATTGATAGTTGTCTGTTCCAAGTCGTAGATGCAGAATGATTTGTAAAGCTTTGAGTCGTCTACATATGAATCAAGGTTACACGATTGTATGCTCCCTGGCAGATCATTAATATAGATGCAAAACAGAAGTGGTAATAGTATTGCACCTTGTGGAACGCCATGGGTTATCGGGCGAGTTGATGACTTGGTGGATCCAATGCGCACGTATTGGGATCTGCCTGTTAAATAGTCTTGGAAACATTTAACAGCTTCGGGTGAAGCACCGATACAACTCAATTTGTGTGATAAAATCGAATGACTGACACTGTCAAATGTCTTGGATAAATCCAATAAAATTAGTGCCGTTAGATTTTTGTTGTCTATGGCTTCCAACATCGTATCGGTAACAAATATGTTTGAGGTTTCGGTGGAGTGAAGACTCCTATTCCCGCTTTGATGTGACGATATGCGATTAAATTCTTTGAGGTAGGAGCTAAATTGATTTAGAACAACTTTTTCACAAACTTCTGAAACTACCTCGAGTAGTGAGAGAGGCCGATTGTTTGAAGCTATCTCGTGATCTCCTTCTTTTAGTAGGGGTATAACTTCAGAAATCTTCCATAGGTCATGGAATGTGCTTGTCATTAGCGAGCAATTTATCATATGCGTAAGAGGACCCAGTATGATTGGAAGACAGTCTTTGATGACACGCATGCCTATTTTATCTGGTCCTAGTGACTTATTACTTGGCATAGCCATGGTAATGCGTTGAACCTCTGTACAAGTAACGGATTGGAAATTGAACAGTTGATCAGATGGATAAGTGATTCCTTTTGACAGAGGATTTGACAGTTCAACATTGTTGTCTTTGGCTAAAGTTTCGGCTGTCGCAGCAGCGTTCCGTCCCACAGAAGTAAAAAAAAAGGTTGAAGTCTTCTCCAACTGTTTTTGGATCTTTGCTATAAACTTGTGTTTCCTTTTCCTTCGAGGGAATTATATTATTAATTATTTTCCATAGGGATCTCGAATTGTGTTTATGTTCTCTTACTTCGTTGAAGGTGTGGTCCTTCGCTGCGGCTTTAATTTTGGTTTTTACGTTATTACGATATTCTTTGTAAACTACCCAATCACCTTCATCACGTGTCAGTTGAAACCGACCGAGGTGTAGGTCCCGAGACTTCATGAGTTCTTTTATTTCATTGGTGACATATGGACATGATCAATTTCGAATTTTGAAGGTTTTTAACGGTGCATGCACGTCGAGAGTTGAGTGAAGAACATCTTTGAAGGTTTCGAGTATTGTATTGACGTTGGTGTTGGATAATATGGATAACAGACGATCCGATTTAGTGACAAGGTCAGAGGAAAATAGTGAGGGATTATAGTTTTTATAACTCCTAGTTGTAATGTAACATGCTGGCATCTTTGGTAGGACGTACACTGGTAGGTGGTCACTGATAGAAGTGTTAATAACACCACTCTCAAGAACAAGTGCTGTGGATGAGACTAGAATAACATCAATAAGCGTTTGGGACGTCGCCGTGATTCTAGTTGGAGTTTTAATAATCTGTGTGAGATTTAATTCTGTAGAAAAATTTGTTGGCGCTCTCCGCTCTTGGCCGTTTTCTAGCATGTTACAATTTAAGTCACCGAGCACTAAAATCTGTTTATTCAAAGTTAAAGCCTGAACATAATTTGGCTTAAGTAAATCTTCGAAACAATTTAGAGAAGTGTCAGGTGGTCGGTAGGTTACACAAATTATTATTGATTTGTTTTTTTGGCATTGTAGATTTATCCATAGTTGATGAAAGTTAGAGACTGACACCTTCGATAAATCTTTTAAGACAGTTGCTTTAATATTCTTCTTGATATAAGCACAGTCGGTTATGAATCCAATCTGCAAGTTAACGCCAATGTAAGCGTCAAAAGTACCTTGATCTAATTAAAGAGCAGGAAGCATATTATGATACAACCTCGTTCCCAGGGTATTTGCTCTTGGGAAGCAAAGACCCTGGTGGACGCTGGTCACGTGACCCATAGAAAATTGATAGCCTCAGAGGGGGATGGAAAGGTCTCATATTACATGTTTCCACTTCCGCACTTCACACTTCGATTGCAAGGAGTGGCCGTGCTGTACAATAATCTTTGAGAATCATATATTCTTCAAAATTCTTGCTAAATTGGTTTCTGTTTGCCGTTTTAAATTATACAAACTTGGTAAAATGCAGATTCTTATACTAACAGACAAGTCAGCAAATCAAGCAACGAAAACGTATGACCGTATGGTTTGAAATAGTTGCGTTTTTAATATTCTCTCGGGGTTCGGGCACAATATTTTCATTTCATAAGTACGTTTCTGTCCTGGCTCTGCCTCTGGTTCAGATATTTACAATATTCTTATAATATGCCATTGAATTGTTGTCATATAGAAAGGAAACGGTATAAATTTTGTAAAATAGAGGTATCAAAAGCGACTGACAAAATTGTTTGGAATCGACACTCGACAGTGCACTTTTTTGTCTTCACGACTACCTGTTTGTTGAGCCAAAATATTGCACAGAATCTCCTATAATAAATTATAGCTATCGCCATTCACCCTCCCACCCTAAATGCAAAGGAATGATATCCGAAAAGATTTAGCAAAGTATTTGTTATTATATCTGGTACGAAGTGTCCCTATACGTTTTATCAGGGATATATATTTATATATACATAATTCATAAACTGTATATGCGCACCAAGTTTCGCTCATAGAATTACTTAATGAGTTTTATTAAGCCTTTTAAAGTTTCTATTGATACTGATACTGATAGATAGGTTGTTTGCTTACAGTTACGAAGTATCGTTTGGTGAAACTTCTAAAATTTCAATTACAGTTACGACACAGTATAGGGGTATATACGATAAAGATTAAAGACTTAAAGTTGATTTAAATATTGATGACTCACAGCGGCATTATACAAGTCGAAAGAAGCTGGATTTTAAGTTGGATTATTCTTCAAATAATGCCTGGGCATTAATACCAATGCCAATGAAAGGTCTTTATAAGATTTATAATGTTTACTGCAATATATGATATAATTTAGTCTAGTGCATATATCGTCCTAGATATTCCAGTTGTACCGCACGCACCGAGGAGTCTTGGCGTGTGATAACAGTATACTGTAGCTGTACTTCGACATATATCATTCTTGATCGTTGAGCTGTTTCAGCAATGTAAATAAAAGAAATAACGGGTTTTAATCCTGTGCTTACTGTAATTCACAGTCAAAACAGCACTATTGCTTTTATATACACAGTTGGCGATGTTCAGTACCTCAATTGGGAAATCAAAGGATCCCGTTATAAAATAAATCCTTTGTTTTGAATATCGGACAGGATACATTTCAACTATAAACAACCATATCATATCGTTCGTTTTATATAAAGACCGTTTGATCGATCAGTCGGTGT